TCATCTCAAATACCAAAAATGAATTATGCTCTTTATGGTACTTCTTGAAGACCCAGAGGCCACCTGGAGTGTTGGATAAAAAGCACATTTCGGGGGTTATTAACAGATAAGTAACGACAAACGCGGGGAGTAGAGCTGGGAAGTGTGCCTCTGTGGGCAGGCAGGTGTTTGTCTCACGGTGTTCACCTAATGGCATTTGACTGTATTGCTATGATGACTAATTTAATACTGTTATTATGTCCCCCTTCAGTTAACCTGCATGGGGGAAGTGAATTAGGACTTGAGTCTTGGAATTAAATGAAATAAAGACAATGGAGGTGAGGTAACACTTGTTATTGTCTTCTTCTGTTTTTATAATTATTTTTCATATTATTCATTTTTTATTATCTTTAATTTGATATAGGGCACATGTGCTCATCAGAGACAGTCAAAGAGAGAGAGAGAGAAATAGGGAAGAGTGAGAAAGCAAGATGCCAGGTCCAAGACTTGAACCACGGTTGACCATGAGGGAGTCCAGTACCGAAACTCCCATGCCACCTGCAGGCCCTAGTAATTGTCTTTTCATGTTGCTATCAACAGTGAGCCCCAGCTTTCTACTGAGGCAGGACAAAGCTGTCCTATAACACTGGACAGCCTGAACCTAGGACTTTGTCCTGCTACCTAAATACTCTTTCACCCACGGCTCCTTGAAAAGGGCGGCATCTACTACTTGAGTCCTCTCGGTCCTTAAACTGCCAGCCTCAAGCAGAAGTTCTTTTTTTTATTTTAAAAACTTTATTATCATTATTATCATTTTACATTCCACCACTGCATATTATTACAACATACAAAATGAATTTCTCTAGTATGAATACACTGTAAATTAGTCCAGTCAAAGATGGTATGTATGTTATCACCAACAGATAATTTCCCATTTTTGTGTCCCTCAAATGTTTTGCGTCTTTCTCTTCCCCTTGATTGCCTCCCTCTTGTCCTCCACCGCCCCCAGCCTCCTACACTGTGCACAGTATGGTAGTTACTCTCTGTACTTGTATTCCTTTCCGTCTTTCAATTTCTGCCATAGAGTGCAGACATTCAATATATACTGAGTGGGGAAATACAGTGCCTCTCTTTTGTAATCTAGCTTGCTTCACTTAGCAGCCAATCTTCCATATTCATCCACTTGCTATTGAACGCAAAGGTCTCTCTATTATTATTATTATTATTACTATTACTATTATTACTATTATTATTTATTCAGAAGTCCTTAATTTGCTGTGACCCTGCCATTTGGCTCCTGTCTGCTAAGGCAGGTAGACACCCCCTAGCGTCCTTTCTCAGTGGACAGTGTCGCATGGCGCTGACCTCACTTTCCTCTGCCAGCTGTTCTTGTGCTGGGACACCCAGTCAGAAGGACACGCAGGCAGTGCCCTGGGCTTCAGGCTGCAGAGGGGCAGTGTCATAATCACCCTCTCTACGTCTGTCCTCAGCCACTCTCCCCTGCAGTGTTCCTCCTCTCATTCCATCCTCATTTGCTAAAGCCAAAATGCATTTCATTTCAGTAGCTGGAAAAGGAAGGGTACGGTGCATATTTAAGACGTTCTAAATGGGTCTTCAGAGTATGCTGCTGGCACAGCAGAGAGCCTGCTTGAGGGAATGTCTACTGAGGTACTCTCGCAAGCAGCTCCTGCGTGAAGTTTCTTCACTCCATAAATATAGAAACAGCATTACTGAAAGGAGACAGTGTTATTACAGGTTAGGGAGCTGTGAGCCACTTTTATCCTGCTCCGTGTAATGTACTAAAGGATTCGATAATGAAAATGTTATTTCTCATGACCGAACAGTTGATTATTACATTTAAATATATTTTAATCTGTCAAAGAGGTGATTGTTTTAATATTCCTACTTTACAGACTCCAATGTCACTTCTTTAATTACGAGGCAACCTAATGTATTACATTCTGAAATGGAAATGTAAAAGAAGGCGATGATTTATGGTCAAAGATTAAGCAAATTTATCAGCGAAGGGTTCCTCCCAAATTTTAAACTAAACCTCGAGTGCAAACGTCTTGGCAGCGCTGTCTTTCAGTTTCTCCTATTATTGATTTAAAGGCTAATTTCAGAATAAGACGTCTCTTTTAACCAGAGGAACTGCTCATTTGCCCTGTAAGGGCCTAATGGGTCCGGCAACAGACATGGGATTCAGTCTATAAATAGGTTTTTGCGAGGAGTCAATGGGCAGGACGGCAATCTCTGTTGCATAACACGCCTCTTCGTGCCTCCTCCTGTTTTTCCTTTCAGCACAGAATGCAAGCCTTATGGCTCTCCTAGCCTAAATCTGAAGATGCTCTTTTTGGTTTTCCTGCAGAGGTTAAAGCATGAAATACATATGGCGAGTCAAACTTGGAGTAGATAAATAATAGCATCTCGGGAGGCTGAATAAATATTTGTTTTGCTAATTTTAAACTGCTCTTCTCTCTCCTGGGCTGAAACATTACCTTTCAGGGGTAGTGGTAATCGGCTTTCATTTTTAGCTCTGAGAGAATTGGAGGAATGGTTTCACTACAATCAGACCAGATGTAAGGCTGACATGAATTTGGTCAGGATGACCAAAGCTCAGCATTTTTAGGCATGCTCCAGCCCCGCCCTTCCAGGTGCCAGAACATGCCAGAACAGTGAGTACGCCTATTAGCTGTTATTAGAGTGAAGTCTTACAAGTTTAAAAACAGTGCTCAAGTGAATTGCACAGATGTTTCCTACTTTTTCGGCTGAAATGCTGTGTGCCACAACACACATGAGAGGGGTCTTCAAAAGATTCACAGAGGCTGCACGTCATTCAAAAAAACTCTGCGTCGATCCCCCAAAGTTTTTCACCACAGTAAACTTGCACTTTAATTCCATTTTTCCATGAAGTCCTCTTGTATATTTTCACCTAATAAAAACACAAGGTACTGACGAGATATCTAGAATCCAGATTTGGGGCTCTGTTTACTCCTTAATGAAAATTCCAACAGAGTTCTTACACAGGAATGTTCTGGTAATTAGAGATTGTGCAGCATGAAGCTTCATCTCAAATTCAGTAACTGTTGGCAATCAAAGTAAGACATAATTTTCTGGACCAGATATTTAATATCCATCATAGAGTTGTACACTAACCTGCTACTGTTTTCTTCACGTATGTGGATATGTGTATGTGTGTGTTCTTCAAAGAGTAGTTGAAAGACCCAGAATTAGTACTAATTACCCAAATCAAATAGAAGAACAAGAACCTCGGATAGCTTCTGCTTGTTCCTTTCATAGTACAAGTCACATCCGTCTGAAAGACTTTTTAAAACCGTGTGCCCCAAGAGTAGCACCTGTTTCAAACACAGGGTCCGCAAAGTGTTCTCTCCTCCAGTGTTTTCACTCATTTGGAGTTTGTTTTATTAGCTTGATGGAGGCGCTCCAAAGGAAACAAAGCATTAAATTGGCAGAGCCTAAACAAGACTTTCCTTCAGGAAGGGATTGGGAGTTCTGGGTGACAGTCTAATTGCTTCTAACCCCCCAAAGAGGCCTGGGGCAGGAGTAAGAGCATGTCAACATCAACAGGCCAAGTCAGCCAAAGAATTAACCAGGCAGAGCTCTACAGACCCAACACATCACAGATCGCTTCACATGACTTCAAAAGGGGATTTAAAAAAAATAAAGAATTAGCGTCTGGCAATCAGTAGAGTCCTTACGGAGGTCACGCCCACAATGCAAAACAGACTTTTTCTGCACTCTGATTGGCGAGGAGCTTCCTGATGGAAATGCACTTCAGGCCCTTAGTTTCCAGAGTTCTACATCCTGTCAAGCACAGGGGACAGAGCAACAGCCACATACACACAGACCCAGCAAATCAGATGCAGAAATTTACTGCACAGGCTATCCAGGCAACCCTGGGAGAACAGGATTAAGCAAAGTGATTCTGTCCAGGGGATGTGGAAGGTGATCAGACAAATAAACCACCTGCCAACTGCTTACTCTCGGTGGTAGCACTTTTGTACCCTAGTGGGACGGAGTGATCCCACAGAATTTCAGGCTACTCCTGGTATCAAAAATAAAAACAATAGCCAACGAATAATAATAAACCTCCTTCCTACTGACTAGTAAAGAATAAATAGTGATTTAATATTCTTAAGTACTTGGTGTACAAATAACAACCACTTTTTTATGAGTTGATAACTTACTGGGATCATTACCATGTATGTCTCATGTTTGTCCTGACATCTCAAAAACCTACATAACATGACACTAATCTCTATTAATTTAATGTTAAACAAAGAACACGACAAACTAAAATAAAGGAAAAGCAAGCTTTATGGCTTTCTTTTATGTTTAATCTTTTTTTTTTTTTTTTTTTTTGGAGAGGTTTTTTTCGCTATAGGGCACGTGCGCTCGCCAGACAGAGACATAGAGACAGAAAGCGAGAAATCACCCCCCAGGGGGGATGGTCACGCTGCAATCCCTTCTCCTCCATTCACCTCTCGGGATCTTGGGCACGCACGCACACGTGCCCGGCGTGAGATTTAAGCCACCGGGTCCGAGACGCGAACCGCGGTCGACTACGTGGGAGTCCAGCGACATAGCCATTACGCTAACTGCTGGTTCTCTTTTATGTTTAATCTTCATAGGAGAAGACAAAGTATTTATTTGGTAAAGCTAGAACATATTAACAATCATAATGTTTCTTACAAAACTTTAGGATCCCAATCCATCACTGTTTCTTGGCAAGTTAGAATGTGAAAAGTAGTTGCTTTTATTTAGATAGGTCCTTATGACCAGTTGGATACAAATCTGGGAATGGGAATGAGACTAAGCTGGTAAGAGAAAAGAGATTTTGAAGTTATTAGAAATTGGCAACTGTAGTTATAAAAAGATTTAATTTATGCAGGGTAAATGTGTATATTTAGAAGAAACTTGGACTGTACTTGTCTTAGTCTGTTACTGGGTTGCTAACTACTGAGGCTGAGTGATAAGAAAGAAAGATTTATTTGACTCACGATTCTGGTGACTGGAAGTCCAAAGGCATATGGTTGGCATCAGGGTGGCCTGTGTCATGACATAGCTGACAGAGCAGAGGAGACTGGGTGCATGCAGAGAGAACAACCCATTCTTTCGAGAACTGATCCCATCTCACAAGAGTTAGAACCCACTCAGTCTGTCTCGAGACAACACTAATCCATTCATGATGTCAGCACCACTATGACCCAATCACTATGATTTAATCTCAACTCACAAGACATTGCTGCCTTCCCACACAGTTATACTGGGGACCACATTTTAAAAAATGAACCTTTGGGGGACAAACCATCATCTAAAGCATAACAGCAGTGAAAGCAAATCACTGTAATCACCATAGTTTTTAAACATAGTCTTCTTTTTTCTGTATAGCTCTTCCTAAGATAACGGTGGTGCTCGCTTCGTACCCCCAGTACTCAGCGCAGCTCCTGCACACAGTAGACCTGACTGGTGTCTAGAGGAGGGAAAATGAACCTGAAGAATATTAGATGCAATGCTTATATAGAGGAAATCTGGGTGAAGTGCCCAATAACCCCTGTATGTGTTCTGGGTTCCAGTATCCAATTTTGAGAGGCACTAAATAATATCACAAACAAAGGTCAAGATCGGGCAACAAAATAATGGCAGCCTACAAAAGGAAAATGACAATCGGGACTGTTGTTCAAGCAATGCTAGAAGATTATGCCTAGCCGAGGAGACAACTTAAGCACCTAAGGCAGAATGGAAGTTTCTCGCTTGTCATTAAGTCCTCTATTCAATTACCATTTATCGGGGTAATTAAACACTGGAAAGTGATGCCAGGCTAATTGTTAGATTATGATAATTACATGTCTTTGCTATGCTACAGCTGATCAAAATAAGATGTGGTCCCGTGCACTTCGCTAAAGCTGCTCTGTAATCGTCAGACTTTCGTGGTGCACTAGGCCATTTATTACTAATTCATTACAAATCAGGTGGAGAAGCTTATTATTTGTAATGCCCCCCCCCACCCCATACGGCCTCCTGGAACAAGACTCCCAAAAGGTTAAGCACAAACTGCTGCCTCTCATTGGCCCCTTTCCATCCCAATTACACAGCTGAGCAGCATTAGGTGCCTCTATTTGAGAGGGTTCATCAGACTGCTTCTCAGAACCCTGCAACCGCCTAGCACATTGGCACGAACACCCAAGGCTCTCTTTCAGTCTCTGCCAACCACTGTTCCGCTCTGAGCTGTGTCTCGGTAACGGCAAGTTGGCAATCCAGAGGATCTTCTGGTTCGGAGGCTCTCTCCTGTCAAACCTAGACCAGGCTGGGATAAGCCCAGGGGTTTGCATCAGTTAGCAGGAGTCATGGGGAATACAGGTCGTCGTCCTCCTTCCAGACACCCAGACTCTGTTTCTCAAGCCAGAGTCAGAAGAGAAAACCTGCTTTCTCAGAAACCTGCCAAAGTCACTTCAGCGCTATCCAATAGTGACTTAAATCTATGGAGAAGAGCGCTAGAACCAATCCATTGCCCTTAGGATAGAATTCTTCATTTTACTTTGCTATAGGGCATGTGTAATCACCATAGAGACACACAGAGAGAGAAAGGGAAAGTGAGAATCTCCCAGTCCCCAGGGGGAACTGCCACACCACAGTCCCTTCTCCACTGTTCTCTTGGGGTTTGGGGCAAGCATGTATGCGACCAGCATGATTTTTCAAGCCGCCAAGTCTGGGACAAGTGGCCATGTGGGATCCAGCCACCTAACTTCCGCACCACCTGCTCACCCAGTTATACGATTCCTTATGAGGCCAGAGTCTGGGCACGTCAGGAGGTTTGAACTCTCCTCTGTCGCTCTACTAGCCCCTCCACGTCACTGTCAGAGGGAACTGGGCTCTATCCTGGGGCTTTTCAAGCTCTCTCCTGCAACCATCATCAGAATGTGTTCACATGACCATGGTTTGGAGAAAGATGCATAGAACATCAGGTTAAAAGTCTGCTAACTACTCCAGGGACCAGCAGATGGTGGTAGCAATTATGTCGCTGGACTCCCACATGGCTGACCATGGTTTGAGGCCTGGACCCGGTGACTTCAAACTCACACCGGGCACGTGTGCATGCGTACCTAAGATCTCAGGAAGAGAAGAGAGAAGGGATTCTGGCATGGCCATCTCCCGGTGGGGTGGAGGGGTGTGATTTCCTGCTTTCTGTTTCTCTGGTGAGCACACACATCCCAGAGCATTTTTGCTCTTTCTCAAAAATACCCCCAAAAAGTCCAGAAACTACTGCAAAGCTCAGGTCATTGGTACAGTCTGTCTTAGGACATTTTTTTCCATTCTTTGGGCAGTGTTATAAGCTGACTGTATCTGTCCAGCTCCAATTCATATGTTGAAGCCTCAACCCTCAATGTGCCTATATGTGAAGACAGGGTCTTTATGGAAGTGATGAAAGTTAAGTGAGGTTGGAAGTGTGATGCCCCGATCTAGTAGGACCAGGGTCCTTAGAAGAAGAGACAGCAGAGAGCTGGCCCTCGCTCTGCCACACAAGGACAAGGCGAGGAGGCTGTGGTCTGCAAGCCAGAAGACAGGCGTGTGTCACCAGAGGGGCGTCACCACCCACCTGCTGGGCTCCGGGCGGGGACTCTGCCTCTAGGGCGGCGGGAAAATACGACTGCTGTGTGAGCCACCTGGTCTACGGGAGTTTATGAGAGAAGCTCGAGAAGACCAACCTGGGCAGTTCCAAATTAAATTAATGGTGCAGCTGGTGGGGAGGGAAGGCTTTAAATGCCTTCCAATGACTTCAGAGATGTGAAAAATACCGCTAGGCTGTTGGGAAAATCAGGATGTATTTTTCTGTTTTTCTATACAAAAACGTGCCATGACTTTCTCGACGACTTAGGGACTCAGTGACAATGGCCAGGAAGGAGAAGAGTAAAGGCCCCAGAGAAATGCCCCGGCCCCCTGCCTGGACCCTGCCTGGACCCTGCCTGGGCCATTCTCGTACCCACGTGCTGTTCTGAGCAAATGGCCGGTCTGAGGGGAGAAGACACGTTATTTCCCTAAGAAAGGCTAGTGTCACCTCTGGAATTAACTCACAGCACTACGAAAACGGCCGTATTATCACCCAGCAACTGTTATCTCGCGGCTTCAGCAAGGCTTTCGCTCAGAGATAGACTGAAGGGTGTTAGGGAGAAGTCACATACTCCATTTTACCCTTCCCTAACCCTGGAAATGAAAACAGAATATGCCACCACCCTTCAAAAATCACACGAAGTGCATCCTAGAGACAAAACGAGCCACGTCGCCTTTGTTAACACCGGAATATATGGAACTGTCATTTCATGTACACAGTTGCTGGCGGCCTGTGGCTTCAGACTGGGGAGTGGGGGAGAGGTACGTCCGTTTATCACATAAAAATGGTTTTGCACTACTTAGGATTATTATTTCCTTCCCACACTCATTAAAAGGATATTCATTCATACAGCTGGATCCTCTATTTACTTTTATAGCCGAGACCACAGAAAGATATATGCAAGAATAATGCAATCATAAAAAATAAGAAACTAATTGCTCTATCCCAAGGAAACCTAAGGGGGGAGGAAATAAACAATTCGCCATTTATTTCTCAGAAATAAATCTAAGCACTTTAGGGGATTCTCAAGTGCTGCAACGTCTCTACCTCCTCAATGCTTGTCTGTCTCGATGATGGAGAACACTGTTGTTTTTGGCCTTCCCATTTCATTTTAATAAACTCTACTTTCCAAATGTCCACCTTGGAAAAGAACTACAGTTCAAAGCAAACCCACACCACCCTTCTCTTGAACTCTCAGGTTTTTGAGATTGCTACAAGCTCTGAATAAGCCACTTGTGCGGACGGTGAGGTTTCAGAGGAATGGTGACATGAAAGGTGATAACAGCTCCATGTGGGTGACAACGCCGCCCAGTGAGCTCTGAGGAGCCGGGCACCACTGGCTTTCCTCAGCACCGCGGGGCACAATCCTGGATCCCCAAGTCCTGCAATACACACATTATCATTTTCTTGCTGTTCAAACTCTTCAAGGCAGACAGCAGAAAAGAACGTGAGCTCGAGGTGGTCAGAAATTCAGCGCCTATGAGCGGGATCAAAAGACAACAAAGGGTTTATGAAACCGGCAGGAGATGCTAAGTTTGCCTGGGACTTCGCACAGAACCCTCCGATGGAAAGAAACACGCGACTGTCTCGTTCACCCATTTATTGACAGAGCAGGACAACTTCATTTCCTGAGGTTTTAGTTCAACATTTAGGTACCTGCCCTGTGCATGCCAGATAGGTAATTAAAACCACGATCCACACTGTAGGCTAAAAGGAACTTGGGATTTGTTTTCAATCCACAAAGATAAAGTACATCTTTCAACTGTATTTCTGGGAAGTAAAGATGCAGGCAAACAGAGAATTCACTTTGGCACTTTCAGCTTTTCTGGACTAGGACAACTGTAGCTGTGAGAAGATTTACAACAGCCAACACCCACCTAAGAGTGTTTTAATTAGGGGCCAGCAGGGGGCGTGGTGGTTAAGGCGCTGGATTCCAGCACGGCTGGCTGACCTGGTGGCTTGCTCTCTCACTTTCCCTTTCTATCTCTAGTGAGCACATGTGCCTTGTAGCAAATTTAAAAAATAATAATAATAAAAAATTCCTTAAAAAAAAGAATGTGTTAATGAATCTAGTCATTAATCGAAAGGTTTAAGTCAAGGGCACAAAAAGGGCTGGTTGCTATGATTTTATGAATATGATGGAAAAAGCAGGCCATGATGCACACTGGTCGGGTAGCAGCACAGAAGCATAGCTTAGGGCTGTATATTCACTGCTGGTGAGTCAAGCTTGCCTCAGAGCACGCACCAACACGGAGGGCTTCCCACCTGTAGGAACACCTTCCGTTCTGCTGACGTAGGCATTGAAGCTGTGCCGGTGTTGTGTTTACCACCAGTGATGGACACATGAAACTTATGTTTCCTCAACTTTGATGTGATTCTAAAAATAGCACAGATATACATATATATGTGTATACATTACTTTTTTTGGCTGTTTGCTATAGGGCTCATGCACTTGCTGGAGATAGAGAAAGTACCCCTTGGGGATGACCATGCCTCCATTCCTTCTCCTTCATTCTCCATTTGAGG